GCAGACATCTTTCTCAGCCCGCAAGCTATGTCTTGCAACCAAACACAAGTGAGAAGTGACATGAAAACAACGTAAGGTCAAATAGTATATCTTTTGTTATTGAACGCATAATAAGAAAGAAGCCTTTAGTGGGGTAGAAAATATACTTATTTTGCTCACCGGGCTTTGAAGGGATTTAGCAATTTCTCCTCAACTGTTTTCTGTTTTTTTTAAGCTGGTTGTGATATTGCTTAGATGACACTTCAAATTTACACTAGTTTTTCTCTATTTCTTGGGTCCAAATAGACTGTAAAGCATTTTTAACTTCTGCCCCAACCTCCCGCTGGCCTGCAGATACCCACACTAGTGGATGCTGCTCTCTCATTGACTGTAGGTAATTGGCAATGTTATTTTCAATCAGAACACATTTCTCACGGTATGATTTTTAATCGCCGACCAGTCCATCTCTTTAGCATGACAAATCTCACAGGTGTTGGTGACTCATTTGTGATTCTCTCAGATGGCAGCTTTGATAGTTCACATTGTGTAATTGGTACTCACTTGAAGGAGCACTGATTTGCCTGTGATTTCAGGCATTTGAGTTCGATTTCTCGAAACCTGTTGCCAAGTCACAATCGTGGCTAAAATCATGCAGTCTGAACTCAGCATATGCTTCACCAATCCTTTAACCCAGTGGTTCCCAACCTTTTTTTTGCCTGAGACCGCCTTTTTCCCCAGAAAACATTGTAATGCCCCCCTCCACATTTAATACTATGATCGCTCATTAAATTTGCAGTAATGTAGATTAATCTAGATTAAAATGGCTCATTTGAATTCTGCCGAAGGCATTCAGAATATGTGTGCTACCAAAATAATGAGTTTGAGAATGGGTTTCTCAAGCCAGGTGGCGCATTAGACCAGGGGCTTAGTCCATTTATAAAAAAGCGGTCGCCATAGCTGAATAAACCTGCAACTTATCAAGTACGTTTTTACTCTTCCAGCTGCAACCCATCTCTGAGAAACATCCACACACACACTTATACACTACGGACAATTTAGCCTACCCAATTCACCTGTACCGCATGCCCTTGGACTGTGGGGGAAACCGGAGCACCCGGAGGAAACCCACGCAAACGCAGGGAGAACATGCAAACTCCACACAAAAATGCCAACTGACCCAGCCGAGGCTCGAACCAGCAAACCAGCGGCCATCTTGCTGTGAGGCGACAGCACTACCCACTGCGTCGCCCAGTTTTATAAGATGTACTTATGTTTACTCACTGTTTATTCAGTTAAAGATTAATTTTAAACATTAGACCTACATAAGCTCAAACAGCTATTTTTGATGAACTTAATCCAACTAAATCGTAACTGAAGTAAGCAGAAAAGAAATTAAGACATGTGGAGTATGTGGTAGAGATGCGCGGTTGGCGGTTATAGCCGCGGACTCCGCGGATAAACCGCAGATCGGGCGGATGACGTTACGAAAAAATAATATTTTAATTAAATTCGGGCGGGTGGCGGGCGGTTGTACTGTTTTTATAGGCATAGCTGGCGCACCAACGAAAAAGCCTAGGACTGACTTCACAGAATGGGAGGAGGAATCGGATACACTAATTCTGGATGAAGTACAGAAGTATTCCTCTACAAACTTCCGTATAGACGGATCAGCAGAGGAAAATCGACTTCCTTTTGGGAGAAATAAGGCCAGGCATTCCCACGACTACAGCACCTTTCCAAGAGAATTCTATGCATTTCAGCAACAAGTGCTGCGAGCGAGCGCTCCTTCAGTGCAGCAGGGCGCATTATAGTGGCTATGCAGGCGCTCCCGTCTGAATCCTGACACTGTAGATGCTATTTTATTCCTGCATTGTGCCAAGAAAAAAGCAAACTAGACCTAAGGTCAGGCATATTAAACCACTTAGCCTATGTTATTTAGGCTACACATATGTTCAATATAAACTTTTGAGTTCGGTCAGCTGATAATTTTACGTTCATATTGGTTTAGCCTATTCTATTCTAGACATGTTGGCCTCGCTTTTACGTTCCGAGGCTAAGGTTATTTTGCCAGAAATTCTTTGTCGCAACTGGCGTAGTATTTCGTTATGCTTCAAGTTTGAGGGGAATGGGGATAATCCTAAGTCCATGGGTTATTGGGGCACTTGTCATACATGCACTTAGCCTGGTCAGACTTTGTTCGCTCAAAGAGGGATGGCATATCTATTTTTCTAATTTAATTTCTAATTGTAGTGGTGACTGAGCCTACAAGGCTTAGGCAAGATATGACGTTTTTATTAAAAAAATTTTCAACTGTTTGCCAAAGCATGCGACTATAGCCTATGCCTTATTAAGACATTTATGTTATTATTTTTTACTGCCTGTTGTTTCTTTTGGCATATAAAATAGGTATTGTCTGATAGAGATATAAATAAAGGTTCATCTTGTCGCAGAACTGTGTTGTTTCCGATTTCTACAAGCTCAATAACATCCACAGCAAAAAAAAAAAAATAAAAAAAAATAAAAAAATAAAAAAATAGTCGAAAAACTGTGCCCATTAATTGGATGTGGAAGGCAATCAGGTACCTTTTTGGGGTTGCTATGGACAACTACAAATGTAAACATTATTAGGCTATAATGTAAATGACTTATTATTCTATCTATTTACTAAAAAATAAAGTGAAATAGGCATTTAGTAGTAGGCTAAATAGCAGCATGTTGAAATGATGTGTCAATGCGTTTTCTATTAGGCTACAATAAAAAAATTTGTATAGTACAGTGCGTTTAATTTAGGCTATTTATTTACTTTTGTCCCTATGCGCCGATTGGAGACGGAGTTCACTGCTGATATTCTGAGAGCTCGGGTGCTTCTCATTTCTTATTTGTGCATCCTTGTTTTTTTTCCTTGCTTTCTTTCCTCGTGTTTCCACCCCACCGGGATACGAGGGAAGGACGCAAGGAAAAGACTCAAGAACCGAGGAATCGAATCAAGTGAAAAGACACATCCTCGTATCTTAAGCGTCACTTCAAAGCGTCGTCAAATAATGACTTGCACGTTTGGATTAACTGCATGTCTACATTAAAGTCATTCTCTATTCTATAATGATCAATAAAGAAACATTCATTTAATAATAAAAAGGAATAAGCCATTCAAATAAAGAGCACAATCAGCAGATGGCGAGCGGATGTGGTTTTAAAAATTGGTCAAAAATGTTACTGCGGATGGATGGCGGACAGATGATGAATTTTGTCATGCGGTTGCGGATGAAATAATAGCCCATCCGCGCATCTCTAGTATGTGGATATCAGTGGCATTATTGAAGAAAACACTGCAGTCTTTTGGACCTTTTGCCACATTTTCTGACAAGATTCACACGGCTGCTATCAGTAAAGGACCGCACACACACACACACACACACACACACACACTGTGAAATACGGAAGTTTTTTTTCTTTCCATTTGGCATACGCTATTAAATTCCATAACACTCTCACCAGTCCTTACTCCTTATTTTTGTCTAATACTCCAGCTTGCCACAGGATAATGAATGAAACGTTCATGAGTTAAAGTGAAACTGCCGAACTGCAGTTAAAGTCAGACATCCTGCTGATTTGATTCAGAAGGGCACTCTTTTGTCAGATGGCTCACCGATCAGGTATACATCCGCGATTATATATCAATGTGAAGGTCATCAAAGCCTGCGTAGATTAGACGCAGCTCCCAACCCAAATTTGAGAATAGATTAATGGCAATTATTTTTTTTTATCACACGATAAGAATCTCGCATTAACAGCCCACCACTAGTGTAAATACATATTTATTTAGTTTGTATATTCATTTCAGTAATACTATTATCCACTGCTAAGATTTTTTTTTAAATTAAAGACCCCACTGTTGGGAGCCGCTGCTTTAACCCAATCGTAGAACCTTTCAAATACAGTGTTGTTAGCATAATATGATGGGTATAATCAAATGTCAGGACATCGGCTTTATTAAATAAAACACAAATTCTGTTAAAAATATCTTCAATGATTGTTAAGATACTGACCTGAGAGGATGCTAGCTTTAGTCAAAAATGAAAAAGACCTCATCATCAAACCTTTCATGTGGGTTTAAACCTTTTTAGTTTTTTTCTTCTGTTGAACTCAGAAGAAATTGTTTTGAATAATGCTTGTTGCTGGCATCCATCGACTTCTGAATAAAATGACTGGACAAGTCAATGGGTGCCAACTACCAGCATTTTGTAATGTATCATCCTTTGTAATAATAATATGTAATAATGTAATAATACTAATAAAGGAATAAATCATGTCAGAATTACATTTTTGGGTGAACCATTTTTTTAAAGTTATGAGTTAAGATGTTTTTGATTGATTGATTGATTGATTGATGTAGAACAAAGCATAGGGGAGGATTCAGACATGAACTAATATACAAGACTCATATCAGACTTTGGAGCAGGGGTGTCCACACTCTGTCCTGGATGGCCGGTGTCCTGGAAAGTTTAGCTCCAACCTTAATCAAACACACCTGAACCAGCTAGTCAAGCTTTTAATAGATATACTAGAAACTTTCAGGCGGGTGTGTTGAAGCAAATTGGAGCTAAAGTCAGCAGGACACCGGCCCTCCAGGGCCGACTTTGGACACCCCTGCCTTAGAGCATGTATAATGTGTGTGAGATTGTCATGCTATCAGTTAAACTGGAATCCAGCAAAGCAGATGAATCGCCACAATTATTCCTAATGTCAGAGCTTTCTCTCAAGTGAAGCCTTGCATCTTACACATTTGTGTCTCTTCATTCGAGATTGTATTACTTTAACGTGTTGATGTAAAACATCAAATATGCTCAAATGTAAAGTTATGATCAGTGCACAATGAAAATGGAAGGAAAATATTATATCAGTGGCTCACCATTTAAAAGGTAGCTTCACACTGCATTTACAGTGACACTCATCTGTTCTGTGTGAGACACTTAAAACAGTATTATAAGCTGAATAATTAGATCAGCAGAAACAAACAACAATTAACGTTCTGGTCATTGTTATTTTTTTTAGTAGATATATTAAGGGGGAAATCACAGCTACATAATCATCAACAACAATCAAAACTAAATAAAAAAAAGAAAATAAGCAGACCACAACTATCAGCAGCAAGTCATACAACATATCTTTAAAGTTCAAACACATCTCAGTCAGTTTGATGGCCTCCATAGGCATCACAATAAGTCTCCTGATCATGTCAGCAACATACAGAGAATGAACAAATTAATGGCACATACATTTACATGTTTTTTGTGTATTTGTTTGAATAAAATCTAAAATGCTTTCTAAATTACAAAAGAGGGAGCACTTTGAAAAACAGGCTCTTTCATTTTTAAACAAATTATATTAAAACATCATTAATGATTTGTCAAAATATTAACCTGAGAGGATTCCGGTTGAAATATTTTAAGAGTTAAGATGTGCTTGATTGATTTTCTAAACCAGGTGTAAAAGAGAGCATAGAGAAGAGGGTCCAGACTTGAATTAATGTATAAAAAACATATTAGACAGGAGAGTACGGTGGGTGGAATAGCCATGCTATCAGTTAGAGTCAAGATATAATATGTAATAAAACAAATCAGATGAATTGCCACAATAATTCCTAATATCAAAGCTGCTTTGCTCTCAGATTTTCTCTTCACTGAACCCTCCATTACACATTTTTCACTCTTCATTTGAGAGTTTATAACCTTCACCTGCTGATGAACAACATAAAATATCCTCAAATGTAAAGTTATGATCACTGTACAAGGAAGCAGGAAGGAAAGTACCAAATCAGTCGCTTTCCATTCAAAAGTTAGTTGAACATTACATTCACCGTAGCACCCATCTGATGTATGAGTGATGCTTAAAATAATATTATAAGCTGAAGAAAAAAACCAGCTGAAACAAACAATGATTAAAGTTCTATTCATTGTTATTGTCTGTGGATACATTAAAGGATGACACACAGCGACATAACGATCCACAGCAATTAAAACTAAACTACAAAGAGATGTAGAAGTGAGGAGACCCATTAGTATCAAAAACAGGTTACACAAAGTGTCTCCAAAGTACCAACACGTCTCAATTAGTTCAGTGGCCTCTATTGGCATCACAATAAGTCCAACAAGCAGATCAGCCACAGACAGAGACAGAATAATCATGTTGGTTGGAGTGTGAAGCTTCTTGAAATGAGAGATGGAGAAGATCACCAGCAGGTTCAGAAACACAGTCCATGCTGACAGCAGTGAAAAAAACACATACAAGATATTGGATTCATAATTGGAGCGTTTTCCTTTTACACATGATGAGTTGAAGGCAGGATAGCAGTACTGAGTCTCCTCTGTCTCGTAGGCCATGAGTGATTCAGCTCCTGTTAGGAGTTTGTTCTGCTCTCCTTTTTGTCCTTTCATTTATACAGTTGTAAGATTGGTTTGACCAACCCACCTACCACCCACTTTGACAGCAACCTTTTTCAATATTTACATCAGTAACATCAATTACATAGTTAGCTTGAAACCAAAATGTGAACTGTAGTAACTGAGCACTAGATTATAGCCTACTGCTAATGTAGTCCATCAAATTTTACTTTGTAAAACTTTCGCAGAGTTCATCTCTGGTCCTAAACTACATTACTCAATGTGCCTTAATTCAGATGTTAAAGTAAATTTCCAACTCAATAAGTACCTGATGAAATTAGACTGAAGTCTGACCAGAGTCTGTTGTACTGATATGTGCAAATCCTGCAGTCATGCATTCGGTCACCAAAAAATCTGCTGTCCTGGTGATTGGTTTGGATTTTTTTTTTCATTCCTCATATCTATTTAAAGTTTTAATGTTATTACTTTGTAATAATGTCTGACTGATGCATACAAGTTATTCCTGAGTTTGGCTTTCAGTTGTGATTTATTTTGTTTACCTCATATGCAGTAACGTGATCGTGCACATAAAAAGAAATGGCCTTTCCTGCATGATTAGTCATGGTCACAAGTGGATTTCCTCACTTCTAGCTTTCAGATAGATTTCTGTGTGAGATTTATAAACAAGTTAATTTTTTTACATGCGTTTTTCAGAATGTTCTTATTTCCAAGTAGCTAGTATAAACTATATTCCTTCTCAGTCACTCATCATCATCATCACTAGACACTCTGTTAAAGGTAATGGGTTTGTTCAAGGCCATTTGAAAAAAAAAAGTACAATTATTTTAAATTTGGAGGCACAAGTCAAGGTTTTGCACCTGAACCCACTTGGGTCTTGGATTGGACTTTGGGTTTTTTGGATCCAAGTTAGCCCATGTAGATCTCTAGTGCAGAGGCCAGTTTATACTGGACTGACTGAACACTTTATCTGGTTCTGACATGTCATTGTGTTACTGTGCTGGTGCATGTTAAAGTGCGATTTCACAGATTTAAGATGCTGCTGATTTATTTATCTTGTCATGAAATGCCTGAGAAGTGATGTGCTTTAATCTTATGATTATTCCCAGTTGTTGACATCTATGTGAATTGGGCTCATATGCGAAATGGATTCTCTCTTCAAAAAATTAATTCTGTACCTCTTTAAATACAATAATGTGCTTCATCCAAGAATTTTTTTTTTAAACTTAGTGTTTCACTCTTCAATAGCACAAATTAATTCACAAACATCAAAACTCAGCGAAAAAATTTGTAAAATGACAGGTTAGGCATTATTTATTTTCAAGTAAACTTCATTGGTCTGTCAATCAATAAAGTGCTGTGTGTCGTGAGTGTGGTGCCTTCATGTTGTGCCCTCATGTTGAACTTGGCATTGATTGATGCCATCACTATACACAAAGGGCCAGAGATGCCATTGAGCAGCGTTGTGATTCCAGTAATTCATTCCGGGACTAATTATTGAGCATTTGTAAAATCAATTACTGTACCCTCTGAAGATCAATTAGAGTTATTATGGTATGTTTTTTAGCAAATGTGCACGCAGAGGTGCCTGTTAACACCTTTGCCGAATACCTAGATAATACTCCTCTGAGCCATTCATTAAAGGTGTCACAAACACAGACAAACACACACAACAGACTGATGCAATAACTTTACTTTTGTTGATAAGTCCGCTCAGTGACCTATAATTGACCTTTAACAAATTTTAGTAACATAGATTTAAATGAATGAAAAATGTTAAAAAAGTGAAAAATAAAATATTAAAAGATTATGTTTTCAGAGTGATGAAAAGTAAAAAATTAAACCTTTTTATGTAACTAATATCCAAATAGGTTATACATTTAAAAACATTGATGTGCTGCTGAGCTATGGCTGCACAGTAATGGAGGAAATGGAGTAGATTGTAAAATGAATGCAATTTAATATTTACACAGTAATAGGCCTTAAAAGTGCACATTTTGTAAAGTGTGAATTTTGAATGCACACATTGTAGTGTTCATGCTGAACTATTGTGCATCCCTGTGAAATGACCTACTAGTATATCAGACATTCTCATTTATAAAACCAATCTGATCCAGTTGTCCAACATGAATTTCGCTTTGTTATTTCTTTTATTTTGTAATTATTATTTTTGAATGTCTCAGTTGAAGTAAATCTACAGTATATGTATTAGATGTGATGTTTGTGAGTTTGAAACAATATAGCTAATTGTTAAGTGAAGCTAATAAACAAATGTGTCTTTCCTGGAGTGCCACATTTCAGAACTCATGCAAACATATTTATATCACTATGGTCAGTTTTTTTTTTTCTTTTTCTTTTTTTTTAAACTGCTAAACTGTAAATGCTGCTTTGTTGTGTTTATTTTATTATTAAGAGTAAGGATGTCATTATGTGATAATTTACACCCAGTGACTTATTTTGCTAGAGTTAGCTGTGAAATTAAAGCGGCATTGAGTGCGCATAAAAAAAGTGGACAAAAAAGTGAAAAAAAAAAAAAAAAAAAAATATATATATATATATATATATATATGTGTGTGTGTGTGTGTGTGTGTGTGTATGTGTTTATATATTTATATATATATATATATATATATATATATATATATATATATTAATGGCCATGAAGTTGCAAACCAAATCTACCTTGGTCTTGTTATAAGAGCAATCTAACTCCTGTTGCTATTCTATTACCATAAAGTGTACATTTTTGACAATCTCAAAGACGCTACTGGTAAACATTTTGGTAACACTTTAAAGGGGGACCATCAAAATAAAGTGTTACCAACATTTTTGCATTCCTGGCCATTTCTCGTAAATCCACCAGATCCGATTGTGTACATTTTTGTCAATCTCAACATCCTTGGTTAACTTGTTGTTATGCGTATTTTACAAGTTTGTTATCAACTGACCCACAGACCCAAACAATAATGTTTTCAAAAGCAAATAGAAAAGCGGTTATGATAGAAACACCTGACCGCAATGGTTTTTCGATTTGCTTTGACATTAGAAATGTCACACTTCTTTTTTGGGGATTATTTTTTCTTGGTTTCTGATACCATTCTTTGGCATACTTAAACCACGGTCCACTCTGCTTCTCGTCGAAAGTATGATGCTGTGTTCACACAAGACACGGCACGCTCAGATAAATCGAGATATTCATGCACAAATAGACGTGTGAACGTTTTGAGTTAACTCGCTTAATTCCCACATCAAATTTTCTTCATTTGCGCGTCAAATTCACTTGACAATAGATGTGGATTCTCATCATAGGCGGGGCTTCTGTTTGCCCATTGACTTTAGCTTCATTGCTAAATGGCTAACATGGCTTATATTGAGATAGTAGCTGTGCTTTATGTGCTTCAGGAAGGCTGAAAAACAGCATAGATTCATTCAGCGTTGTTTCTGAGTACACTAGATCCTTTCAGAGATGCACCCAGCTCTGTGAGTTCATCAACTCCTCCAGCAACTATACCTGAACGAAGGAAGCTTTCAGTGGTGCTTCAGAGCCCAGTTTGATGAACTGGTGCAGGCAAGAGGATTTCCCCTTGGAGCACCAACAACAGGCACTAGATCAAGATTTTTCAACTCGAATGACATGTCATTCCTGTAAAACGCACAACAGGATGTCTGTTTGCGTCTTCGTTTTGGCTAGACATGTAAATCACTCATGCTTGATGCTACAACTGCGTATGGTGTGAACGTAGCATGACCGCATTGGTGGTGAGCTTCCAAGATAACTAGTCTAACCAAAAAAACTTCCATGTGGATTTAAGCAGTTAGTGGTACCGCCCTGTACCGTTAGTTTTAGATAATGAAGACATAGGTACATGCCAGCACACATTTTTCAGTTCTCAATAATATGTCCCTGGGCTCATTTTCTAATGAGCCTGCTGCAGTAATCTTTAAAGAAGTAATCTTTAAAGAAGTATTTCAATTGCTTAACTAAATACCTATTGCTCACTATACATTTTGTTGAATTTTGGTTTAAGTCTTTAGAAAAGCAAATAAAACTTTGCTCCCTGCTCTGCCAAGTAAAAACTTAAGAATAAAAACAACTTCAGAAAGGTCTTTAGATTATTCATTCTGGAATGTGTCATTATATTTCAGTGTTTGTGTTGTGTAATAGACTATAAAACCTGTTAAAATACATGTCAGGGTATTAATTTCAATATTTAACAGTGGGTGGGATTAAAGAGTATGATCAGACCACACAATTAATGGGATGTTCCAGTTTTCAGTGAATATAAATTAGTTAAATCAGTAAAAGAAGCGTGGAAGTTGGACTATGCACTACAGCTTTACAAATGAGAGTATGATCAACTTTAAAAATTTTTGACAAGAGGATCATGAAGGACAAGAATCTAGAAATACAATTTTGCTTTCCAAACAATAATTTGTCATGCTTCAAAGAAATCAAACCTCAAACTGACTATGTTGTATTGTATATTTTCATTTTTTTAGCATCTGTTGTCACTGTGTTTTTGAACCTGCTGGTGATCATCTCCATTTCTCACTTCAGGCAGCTTCACACTCCAACCAACCTGCTCATTCTCTCTCTGGCTGTAGCTGATCTGATTGTGGGACTGATTGTTATACCATTTATGGGTATTAGATTCATAGACTCATGCTGGTACTATGGAGAGACATTTTGTTCTGTATTTTTATTCATTACTTTTGCTGTTGTTTCTGGATCTCTTGGTAATTTAGTCCTTATATCTTTAGATCGTTACATTGCGGTGAGTGATCCTCTAAGATACACAGTAAAAATCACAACTGACAGAATTGTTATTTGTATTGTTGTAAACTGGCTCTGCTCTAGCATATATTCTTTCATTTTCTTATACAATTCTGTTTTCTACCCAGAGACACAAAATGGGTGTTATGGAGACTGCCGAGTTTCGTTCAAGTTTGAACATTTTGTCACAGACCTCCTTGTCACTTTTGTCGCCCCTTCTTGTGTAATTATGTCTATATATGTGAAGATTTTTTGTGTTGCAAAACATCAGGCAAAGGTGGTAAATTCTGTGACAGGGGTCAGCAAGTCACAGCGAAAGGCAGGAAAAACTCTGGGTATTGTTGTAATGGTTTTCTTTATGTGTTGGATACCATATTATATTGTAATTCTTATAGAAGGAAATGAACTAACAGAATCTGTTGAGTTTAATGTAACATGCTGGATAGTGTACATGAATTCCTGTATGAATCCACTCATCTATTCCCTGTTTTATAAATGGTTTAGAATATCAGCTAAACACATTCTGACACTAAACATTTTGAAACTATCATCAGAATACTTCAATCTTTTCCCTGAGGATAAATGATGAATTCCTCAGTCACTGAAAAAAGACCTTCTTTTGCAATGTTCATTGTGTTCTGTTTGAGTGTATTTTATGTATATCACTAAGTGAAAATTATCAACTATCTGATAAATGGTGGTAATTGCATAACTTGGAACCAGTGCAAACATGAGTTTAATTTAAATGTATGATTATATAAAGGGAAAATGAGTTTATTTACTTACAGAATGCTTGAGAGTGCTTCACATAAAATGAATTAAAGAAAACCCTTAAAATATGTGTGAAGAAATAGTACTATAACACATCAGTCTTGGTCTCTAGATTAATTTTTGTTAAAGAATATGCTAAAAAAAACTCATTTAAGAAAAATAATTTTAAGTTGGAAAAATCAATATTCAGAGTTTTTAGCATGACAGAGTTAGTGCTTGTAATGGTAAACTTTTAGAGAAAGTAATTAAAACATAAGAGACTGTGACAGTTTGGAGACAAAACTGTGCTGTTCAACAAGTAAATATATCTGTGAGCTTGACAGGCCCTGTCCACATGAACATAGGTTTTTCTAAACTGTACTTTTTTTCTACTCTGCTTTTCTGTTTGTCCAAATAAAAACAGTATCAGGTGACTGAAATTTAAACCTTTCTGAAAACACTGGCCAGGGTGAAGATTTTCCAAAGCGCCAAGTACAGTGTGGTCATGTGGACACTACAATAGAGGTTTTTGCCTCATGAACTCAACATTCATGTTGTTCTCCCTTGTGATTGACCAACATATTCTATAGTCTTGAAGTGTAGGAATACCCAAACATCTGGTCCAAAGCTGCTGTCTTGTAAGAAATAACATAGTGGAACATATTTTGTTTTACACTCAGTTCATCTTTATTTCATCAGCACTTTTTCAATGTAGATTGTATCAATGCAGCTAAACATAGACATTTTAGTAAATTGATAATGTGTCAGTCCAGTGAAAAAGGGATTATTAGTTGTGTTATAAAGTTATATCAATCAATCCTAATACGAACAAATGCAACATAAAATATAAATAAAAAGACATACAATACTACTACTATTACTACTTTTTCTCTTCAGCAGGGAGTGACATCAATTACAGAGCGAACAAATATTTCGTGACCCCTTGGATTATTATGTTTTTCTTTGTCACGTTACCTATGCCTCCTCTTCTCTTTATTTTCCTGTTAAGGAGTGTGTTCAATGTGGCAGGCTGCTGTTTCCAAAAATGCTCTATGTTCCATCTGGTGCAAACAAGTATTAGCTTGTAGTTTGACAGATGTAACTGGGCCTTCCTTTGCTTTTGGGCTGCTGTTAAAAAGTGTTATTGCACAGTTGTCTGAAAACTTGGTTATGATTGGTCAGTCGCAACATTCCAAGCTATGTGTAACTAATGAACACTGGCAACAGACGCATGGATCCACATGCAGTTTATTTAAAGAGCAGTCGAGCAGGCAGTGGTCAAAAGCAGGGGCAAACAGAAGCATACAGGTAATCCATTTATAATCAAAACAGACGAGTGGTTAGGACAGGTGGCGAAAGCAACTAAAATAATAAAATAAGGCAAAGATTCTAAAACACAGCAGGACAAAAAAAAAGGCTAAAGTGTGGAGGTGTGGTGAGCTCTGGTTCTGCAGGTACTGATGAGTCAAACAACCCCAGTTGGTCAGAATGCACTGGTGGTTCAGACAACCCCAGTGGATCAGTAAACTTTGGTTCAGCAGACACTTGTGGGTCATACAACCTCAGTGGGTCAGGAGGTTTTGGGTCACAAGACAATGGCAGTTCAGACAACCCAAATGGGTCAGGAGGCTCAAGGTCAGGAGGCACTGTCGGTCCAGACAACCCCGGTGGCTCAGAAGGCTCTAGGATCAGGAGACACTAGGAGTTCAGACAGCTGTCAACACTAGAGTGTCACGGCTCTGGCAGCATTAGATAGTCAGATGGCACTGGCTGCACTGGAAATTCACAGGGCTCTAGCGGCACTAGGAAGTCAAATGTATCACAATCTGGCGCTCACCATTCGAGGGACTCAGGAGGATCTGCCGGCTTCCATTCGGGGGATTCTTGAGGATCTGGCTGGTGCCCTTCATTTGGGGAATTTGGGAAGATCTGGCGGCTCTGGCAGTGAAGGAGGATCTTGCAGCTCTACCAATGAGGGACTGGCGGTAGCCAGTTTGTAAACTGGCTTTATTTCAGACTCATAAACAGGACACAGGAGTTGGGCCAGCACAATATTGTTAATGTATTGGGCAGCAAGCCCCATCGGCCTCTGTGAAATAATATCATAAGGTATACCTCATCTAAAGATGTAAAATGAGCCAGATTAATGATGTCCTCCACATACTCCTCGATAGTGCATTCCCCTTAAGGGAGACGTATAATATCAGTTCATGCTGGATCCATTTATGGCTGAGTCTTCTGTAAAAATGGGATGCTAGACAACGGACTTGAGAATTCATGTGCAGCTTATCTAAAGAGAAGTGGTGCAGGCAATGGTCAAAAATGGGCAAACAGAAGCACACAGGTGATCCCCAATATGAAGCCAAAAGAGGTGAGTGATTAGGACAGGCGGTGAAAGCAACGGAAACGATAAAACAAAGGTTAAAAACATGACTAGACATGTTTAATCTGTGGGTATTAGAAACCGGTGTGTGTGAGGTGCATGCTGGGAGTTGTAGTTCGTTAACGTGTTGTGCATGTAGTTCTTCAGCAATCTAGAAGCCACTAGATCATTGGTGATTGTAACGCTGTTAATCTGAGATAACAATCACTGAATAAATAGAAAAATTTGAATCTGTTTGACCATCAGTGAATATGTTCACATTCATGTTCTTACATCCACAAACATTTGTATCTGCTTTTCTGTGAAGCTGCTCTTTTCTAATGTTTAACGCCTTCTTGTGAATTAATAATTTGTAGGTTAGTGTTTACTCTATTCACTTGGTTTAGTTTCTGTCAGCTTTGCATTTTTGTATGGTGCCATCTTGTGATTAAATACACGGTTAATGTTTCTTTCAGTCCCATTTTGCTGTTTTTGTTTCTGTGAGCTTTGAATTCAATTAAAGAATTAATAAATTACCACGGCTCAGAATGATGTATTGTCTAATTTTTATGTTTTGTGCCAAGTAGCTGTGTAATAAGCAGTATAATATACATCTAGGATGGTTGTTTTCAAAGAAATAAAGCTCTTCAGTCTTATAGTGATTAGTTTCAGGTTGGGTTAGTGATTTGCATGTTAGGCAATAACTTTATGGATATACTTTATACCAAACTTATCAACTTCCTTCTTTTGCAAGAAGATGTGACACCCTGTCCACCTTGATTTTTTTTTTTTGCAAAGCTAATTATTTTTATGTGTGATGTCATAAAAGTTAAAAAGTCCTGTAATAACCACCAATAACACTCTAGATGTTTTCTAAGTATATATTTTTTTATAATGAATGTTGTATAAAGGGTTAAATCAAACCTTCTGTACAGTTGATACATTGGTAAATGTAGTTCTGTCATTCCCTTGTGACTAAAGCACAAGTGCTTCGTAGTTACCTCACATTTAATGGGATGTCTCTCATTTCTGTACTTATATATTAGAAGTGAATCTATTGTGGTCTATTGATGAAGGATTAACAGGGACATGCTACATTTATAAATACAGTTCATTGAGAAAATGTCTGGTAAAAGCATTATGGAGGACAATACTCAAGAAATCCAATATTGCTTTCCGGATAACAATTTTTCATGTGTCAAAGAGATTATGCCTAAAGTGGAATATGTAATTTTGTACATTTTCATTTCTTTATTAGCAGTGTTTGCTGTGTTTCTAAACCTGCTGGTGATCATCTCCATCTCTCACTTCAGGCAGCTTCACACTCCAACTAACATGATTGTTCTCTCTCTAGCTGTAGCTGATCTGATTGTGGGACTGATTGTTATACCTTTAATGGGCATTAGGTACATAGAATCATGCTGGTACTTTGGAGAGGCATTTTGTTTTCTATTTTTATTTGTTATTTTTATGGTCGTTACAGCATCTCTTGGTAATTTAGTGTTTGTATCTTTAGATCGTTACATTGCTGTGAGTGATCCTCTGAGATATACAGTAAGGGTCACGACTGATAGAATTGTTATTTGCATTGTTATAAACTGGCTTTGCTGTGGTGTATATTCTTTTATTATATTGTACAATACTATGTTCTACTCAAAGACACTAGACAGGTGTTATGGACACTGTACAATTTTTTTCAAGTTTGAACATTTTGTCACAGACCTTCTTGTCACTTTTGTCGCCCCTTCTTGTGTAATTATGTCTATATATGTGAAGATTTTTTGTGTTGCAAAACATCAGGCAAAGGTGGTAAATTCTGTGACAGGGGTCAGCAAGTCACAGCGAAAGGCAGGAAAAACTCTGGGTATTGTTGTAATTGTTTTCTTTATGTGTTGGATACCATATTATATAGTCACTCTTATTGAAGGAAATGAACTAACAGAATCTGTTGAACTTAATGTAACCTGCTGGATTTTGTACATGAATTCCTGTATGAATCCACTCATCTATTCTCTGTTTTATAAATGGTTTAGAATATCAGCCAAACACATTCTAACACTAAACATTTTGAAACCATCATCAGAATACTTCAATCTTTTCCCTGAGGATAAATGATAAATTTATTCTGAAAACTGGGGGGAAAAAAATCTTGTTTCTTTGTGCAGTGTTCATTATTTTTATGTTTAAATGTATTTTGTGTACATCACCAAGTAAAAGTTTTACCTGATGAATGTTGGTAAATGCATAACTTTTATAGATTCACTGCAAACATGAGTTTAATTTAATGCATATGATTAAATAAAGGCAGAGTAAGTTTGTTCTCATACAGATGCTTAAAAGTGCTTCACACACACACACACACACACACACACACACACACACACACACACACACACACACACACACACACACACACACACAAACAAATTAAATAAAACACTTAAAATATATATATTTGTTTCACTAAATAGTGCCATAATTGAAATTTACAATATTTCTACATTGTTGTGCACACATCAGTGCTTGGTCTCTGGTTTAACCTTTGTTAAAGATTATGGCAAAGAAACACATTAAAGATTTAAAAGAAACTAATTTTAGGCTGGAAAAATTAAATAAATAAACGTTCAGAGTTTGTAGCATGACAGAAACAGTGTCTGTAACAGTACATAAACCTGACTTTTTTTCTTTAGAGAAAACGTCGAAGACTGTGACTGTGGAGACAAGGACTGTGCTGTTCAACAAGTGATTGTAATGTCACTGGAAAATGACAATGTTTTATAAAAATAAAAAAAACACTAGATTTGTCTTGTCTAAATTAGTGCTCTGTAATATATTTTTAAGGATTTAAAGATAATTTTGTTCTTTGTTAAACAATGCGAAAATAAGATGTAACCATAGATTAAGCATTTTCTCATTTGTTGTCATGGATTTAAATCAACTGCAGATGTGTTTTTCTGTTAGGCTTTAATTTTAATGTGGTCTTTAAATCTGATCAGAAAAAAATTTACATCAACTAGTGTTAAATAGTCAATGATATTTAGTGTTGTATAGTCTTGTTTAGTCCAGACATACATCACTTAATTTTACATGATCTAGGTAGTTACAGAATATGCTTCCAAATTCAGTATACACAGTTGACTTTCTGTAATGTATTTGGCTTGAAGCTTAAAAATAATGTTCATCTATTTTATTAATATGTTGCTATTAGAGATACGGCAATGCAAAAACCTTTTCTACAATTTAACACAGTGTCTTCTCGTCATTGGGGCATCTTTATAGTTTAATTCCCATGTAGATGTGCATATGTCATGGGTCAACTTTTTTAACAATGTTGCCTGGTGATATTGCAGATTGATGTTGCTTGGCTATTTTTTAGGGGTGGGAGGAAAAAAAAAAATCAATCGATCAGTTCACTGTCATTCTTTCCCAAATTATTCTCAATCAATTCTCAAAAGTTCAGAATCAATTCTGTATTAAAAAAATATCACAATGGGGCAGGCCTGTGCATTCATGGGCTAGAAACAGAAAAATAATAAGCGTTGACAGGCACATTTGTTTGCTGCATTTGGATCAAGATGGACAAACTTTTTGACATTGCTTTAAAAGTTGCTTAATGTATCTTCAGCTCTGCCATTTTTGGCTTTTGTTATTAATTAATTTATTTTCTTTCCGGCTTAGTCACTTTATTAGTTTGGGGTTTTACAGCGAAATTACCTTACGCAGCGGATGCCCTTCCAGCTGCAACCTATCACTGGGAAACACCCATTCACTCTCATTCACACACATACACTACAGACAGTTTAGCTCACCCAATGGACCTGAAATGATGAGAAATGCCAAGTGACCTAGCCGTGGCTTGAATCAACAACCTTTTTGCTGTGAGGCGACAGCGCTACCCATTGACCCGCAGCTTTTTTTTTTATTCCTTATTTATATTTACAATAATGCTCTTATATATATTTTTATCGCTGTTAACTAACCTCCAAATATCAGCTGTTCACAAAAAGGCCTAGACCAACCAAGATATCAGCATAAAAGCACGCTCTGCTAAATATTTTGTATTCTTTGGTATCAACTGTTTTTTTTATATATATTGACACATTTTATTTAAATATTGCACACAAATCCTATTTTTTTCTTGTCTTAAATGTTGCCCAGAATGTTTAGGATATCCTGGATGCAGGACTTACATTCAAGTACTAACATTCAAGTTCTATAATAGTGCCTATTCTTAATTTAATTCATTTCAGTAATATAACAATTTTAGTTAAGTTAAAAATGTAACCTAATAGGGTTTTGTTGGTTGTGATCCTTGTTGATTATTGCAGAGGATCTTTACAGCAATTTGTTCTGTTTATAAATCTATACAAATTAAATAACCAAGTGATGCTGAAACAACAGTATAATCAATAAACAAAGAACAACATGTCCGTCTAAAGTACCAAAATTTGAACATATCTGATGTCCATCAGTGGTATAACAATATCAGTCTCATAAGCAGATCAGCCACAGCCAGAGAGAGATTAATCATGTTGGTTGGAGTGTGAAGCTTCTTGAAGTGAGAGATGGAGATGATCACCAGCAGGTTTAGAAAGAAAGATAAGTCTGCTTCATCATAGCAACATTGAGGCTTGCTTCAGCTAAACATCATGTGTACCAACCTGGTTCTGACATCTAACACAGTGCTCTATTTAAATACATACATATTGTCTCTCTTCAGTGCTTGGCTGAATGCCAGTTTTAAACTCCCTCCATTGTCCCCATCTCCTCCAAGCTCATATCTTATTGCTTTTTTAGGTTTTTAGGCCAGGTACACAGCAATCTGCCTCTTTTGTATGCCATTTACATTACATTAACAACATTAGCAATAAAAACTTTAATTTAAAAACAGCATGATGTTTTATCTTTGACTGCAATTTATATTTGCTTGATGATCTGAAACAAAGTGTGACAAACATGCAAAAAATAAATAAATAAAAACAAAAAAAAAAAGAATTTTGTATGGGGCAACCACTTTTTCACACCCCTGTATTTTCTATGGGACACTTAGGACTGCAAGTGTGTTGGCTGGTACAGTTATAAAATATTCTCTTAGTGAATGCTATTTGAGCATAAGTAAAAAAAATTAAAAAAAACTCTTTAACATTTGACACTGAATGCTCATCTTAGCTAATGCATCATTTGTTGAACTTTTTTTAAATTATACTTAAAATTATAATATTTAACAGGTAAAAATATGCAAATGGGAGGAGGTTGGCACCTATATTTAGCTGTAAATTATTTCACCTCTCGAATTTTAAATCAGATTACATTTAATCAACAATTTTTTTTATATTTTTTCAAGCTTGGTGCAAACAATTTATGTGTTAAGCATCACTTTAGTTAGGCCATGCCAAGCTCTCATAAGAAAGTCCTTAATTTAACAAAAATTTTTGTTCATTTTGCTTCCATTTACCTATTATTCAACAATGTATTTTTTCAGTAAATCTGACTTTTTAAGTTCTGCCTTCATTTTCAGCTATGTCTTAAATAATGGGGATCAGTGGTTCTATTAGTGTAATCTTTTTTGCATCTTGATTATTGTGAATAACAACACAAAGCACTCACATATGGCCGTTCAAACTGTCAATATTTATTCACACTGAAAAATCTGTACACATTTCACTTTTAAAGTAGACAGATACCCAAAAAAGCTCCAGTTGATTTATATTTTATTGTTGTTGACAGAGGCATTTTTTTTCTTTTCTTTCTAGCATCTCTCTTGCTTTCAAATGATTAGTAGTTATTCAGGGTTGATCCTGATATGAAGTGATGATGTTTTATGTTTAGTTAATCAAGTGTTAATTTTGTACCAAATTGTGTATTTGCATATCACACATGTTGTAAATTTTATTTCATTCATCTCAGAAGATGTGCTTAAAGTTAACACTAAAGCAAATTAAAATATACTCACGAATGACCCTCTGTTAAAATGTTCATCAAAGAGGATGCTGGCTGAAATATTCTGAAAGTTACAATGTGTTTAACGGATATTTTAAACCAGCTGTAAAATAAAGCATAGACAATAGGATTCAGACCCGAGTTTATATAAAATGTCCATGTTAAAAATGTCATTGTAGTGGCTGAGATTGCTGTTGTTTTTGTTAGAGAACAAATATAGAAAGGAATCCAGCAAAGCAGATAAGCTGTCACAATGATTCCCAATGTCTGAGCAGCTTTACTCTCAGATTTTCTCTTCACTGAAACCTCCATTACACATTTTACACCATTTATTTGAGAGTTTATAACTTTCACTTGCTTATGCACAACATAAAATATCCTCAAATATGCAGTGATGATCACAGTACAAGGAAAAAGGAAGGAGCAGATCAAATCAATGAATCTCCAAGCAGGAGTAATCAGAACAATACATTGGCCAAAACACAGGGTTTTGTTTGACATGTCAAAATATCCATTACTAATTACAGATGAAATAATGTAAACTGAACAGCAAAACCAACAGAGAAAAATGCTTATTAAAGTTTTTGTTGTGGTTATTGTTTGTGGGTACAGTAAGGAATGACACACAGCCATATAGCGATCAACAGCAATTAAAACTAAATTAATAAGAGATGTAGAAAGTAGCAACCTAACGGTCATTACATAAAGTCCACAGTAAGTGTCTCCAAAATACCAACATGTCTCAATTTGTTTGATACCCTCGATTGGTATCACAACAAGTCCAACTAGCAAATCAGCCACAGCCAGAGAGAGAATAAGCAGGTTGGTTGGAGTGTGAAGCTTCTTGAAGTGAGAGATGGAGATGATCACCAGCAGATTCAGAAACACAGTCCATGCTGACAGCAATGACACAAACACATACATGATATTGTATTCAAGTCTGGTGCGTTGTCCCTTGACACATGATGAGTTGATGTCAGGAAAGCAGTATTGAGTATCCTCTGTCTCATAGGCCATTAGTGAGTCTCCTCCTGTTAGGAGTTTGTTCTGGTCTCCTTTCTGTCCTTTCATTTATACAGAGCCCGTACAGTGGCCCACCCACTTTGATGCTGCATATTTGATTAATTATATTATTTACCCAACTTTTGGATTAAGATAAATAATTTATTATAGAGGAAGATCATTTATAGCTAATTTATTATTTGAATCATTAATCTGATAGCTTTTGTAAAACTAAGAACAAATATCTAAGTATACTTAGTTAAATAAATAATTACTTAAATAAATAAGTAACTGCTACTCTATATTTATTTTGGCCTGAAACTTCCTTTCAATGTCTCAGTAAAAATATTATTCAGTAGCATTAAAAAAAGGAATTGCTAAGAG